ATTAATAATTTATTAATATAACATTAAGTGAGTGCTGTGGTAGTTTATTAATTGTTTATAAATATATTGTTAATAAAGTGAGTGTTGTGATAGTTTATTAATAGTTTATTAATATAACATTAAGTGAGCGCTGTGATCGTTTATTCATAGTTTATTAATGTAACGTTAATAAAGTGAGCACTGATTACAAACATCCTTCCCTTTTGTAGATTAATTACTCCGTGAAATTTTGAATCAGATTGAATCAGAATAATGAATCAGATTGAACAGTAAATATTGTGATGATGAACGTCTTTTTTTCTCACCTTTGATTATTTGTAAAAGTCAGTATTTCCTCCAGATCTTTATTATTGCAGATTAATATTGTCCTGTGAGCATTAAATATCATTCATGTTCCAATACTGAGTCTCTGACGGTGCTGAAGAGGTTCAGGCTTTATGATAGTGATGTAACAGCACAGTGGATCACAGCGGATCACAGCAGATCACACTGTATCAGTGGATCTTAACTAGCATGTTAGCTTGTGGTTACTTTGTTAGCTTCGAGCTAAGATGCTAGTTTGTGGCTGGAGTGTCGGATCGTCACACGGTAAAGCTGCTCTCAGCTCTCATTTCAAATGCTTACATAATGTTGAATATGCTAATAAACTGAAAATAGAAACATGATGTTTACGTTGTGCAGATTTTCAGACGTTCCTTTATGTTTTTATTTGTACTGTATGGGAAAACGTGTCGTCCTGCAGACCGAAATGTGGTTCAGCTCTCTGGAAACAGAAGTGTTTGATTTTTTTAAAATGCTGTTATCACACAGTGATCTTTCTCGCAGATGTTGCTGTTGTCGTTTGTTTGCTCTGCAGCGTCTGTAACATTAAACGAGCCTGTTGTGTTTGGAGGAGTGGCTTCATTAACAGTCTTAACCTGACTGGACTTCAAATGGCGAAAGAAGTAAATGAAATTTAACTGCTACCAAGTACACCCAGACAAGTAGAATTAAAAAGAACTCTTGCACTGCTAGAAACCTGTTTTGTGGAGCAATCACAGTGAGGGGGAGGTGATTAGGACCAATCGTAGTGGGGGAGGTCTTTAGGAGGAGGTGGTTAGGGCCAATCACAGTCGGGGGAGGTCTCAGAACAAATGAAGACCAATCACAGTGAGGGGGAGGTAAGTAGGGGGAGGTGATTAGGACTTCTGTTTAATTAGCAGCGCATATCGTGCCGCATTAATCAAACCATCGTTTTGGCCAAAAATATGTTATTTTTGCTTCAAAGTGTCGTTTTTGTTTAAAGTGTACTGCTTAACTATTATTGTGATCAAGTTGTGATGATGTGATGTGTCCCGATGGGAGATGGAACGATACGCCTTTTATTTTTTCAGTGCTGATACTGAAGTCCTGAGTCTCGGGTGATACTGATCCGATATTCCTTCTTTAAAAACTACTGCTATTAAAAATGATCCGTTTCTTATCGAAGCTCCTGAGGTGATGATGTAACAGTAGTCTGTGTTAAACTGTTGATCGTATCAGAATGACTCTCACTCCGGCTCTCAGAGCTCTTCACAACGCCGAATCGTGGCTGACGTGCTGAGTATCATATCAGGAGCTGCGATCAGGACGAGCAGGTTTGTCGGCACTGAGTGATCTGGAGCTTTAGGTCTGCCGCTCGGCTGGTTTGTGAAGATGACCGAAGGTGGAGGGAGTTCTCGTGATCAGAGCCGGTTCGGTTCAGGGTTTTGTGAACAGTTCCCAAACAAACCTCACCGTCTCGTCTCTGACCGGCTACTTTTCTTGTCAGGAATAATCAGTGTAGTTCCCGATGGTTTTAACAGCCACCGCAAAGTTTTTTCTTTTTATGATTTTAAAAATAGGTTCACGTCCTTTTTATGGACTCCAGTATCTTCACTGCAGCTCCCTCGTTTGTGGTGTTTAGAATGGTTTAACATGGGCTGCAGCCACAGAATGGAGGAGAAGTCAAAAGAGAGGGAACTTTTGAACCGTTCTGTCATTTATGATCAAATGTCCGACCGCAGGCAGCCCACCGCAGCCTTCTGAATGTCAGCTTAGGTCATTTTCTGGTTTCTCTGAAAGACCGCCGGCCGCCGGGTCTGTGAAGCAGAAGAAAGCTGATGTAATGGGTTTAAGAAAATCTCTGAGGGGAGTCAAACCTCTCCCACCCTCCCTCTCCCTCTTCTTTCTCTTCACCCACCCCACATCCTTTCTTCATCAACAGCCAAATATGGATATCTTCAATCTTTGGTGTGGGGGGGGTTCATTGTCGTTGCGTTTGCCGCTCCATCTCTATTACTGCTCTCAGAAAAGAGGTCTGTAGGCTTTATCTGTGAAGTGGAAAGATGAGGGGCAAGAAAGGGAGTAAAGTTTCTGATTCAGTTTGGCGGTGTTTGGAGTGGGGGAGGGTGCAGGGAGAGATAGGGTGAGAGGGGTGTGTCGGTGGGGGGTGGAGGAAGAGAAAAGCGAGGAGAAATCCCAGCCTTGGCACTCAAACATAGTCCTTTTTCTGCTCTGACTACAAAAGAAACCTGTAACTCCTCCAGATTGCTTATGGTGGAGTATCAAAGACATGCTTAGCTTTAGAGCGGGACCTCTGGGGAGGAGGAGGCCAGCGAGCCGGTCAGCCCAATACAAACTCGGCTGGGCTCTGCCAGTTAATCTCTTAGATGGGATTTCTTCCCCCGCCCTTCTCTCTTTTGTACGGAGGGATATTTAGCGTTGCGGTGGTGCCGTGGCTGGAGGAACATTCTAATCTGCCGCTAGAGTAAAGACCCCTGCGTACGAGACGTCGATGAAAAGTGGATCAGAAAAGTCAAACTTTCGAACCTGTTCAGAGAAGATTCATTATATGTGTTTAACCAACCTACTAAATCTCTGCTAGAAGTGAAAATGTTTACTGAACGAAAGCGGAGCGACTGCAGACGTTACAGCTGAGCCGTCACAGCCTGAGAGACGAGTTATAACAGTCAGACTGAAAGGCTCTAAAATTGATTCAAACACTGTTAATTCAATGCAGTTCAATGCAACAAACCCTCACAGATGACGTTGCGAAGATGATCAAAGCACTGGAACCACATCAGATATCTGTGTTACATTTCAGCCCGTGTTAGTTTGGCCCCCGTGCTCGCTGTGAGTATTCGGGCTGGGCATCACTTCGAATATTTCAGTATTAATACAGTTTATTTAAATTCAATACTGATTCCAACGCTTCCTTCAAAGTTTTTTTTTGTTTATTACAAACTAGAAGTGGGTGTGGCTTGAAGCAGAAATGAGTGTGAGGTGCTTTTTAATTTTTTATTTTTTTTTCCTCAATTTAGTCATATTCAATCCCACTCATTAGCTAGAACTCCGTGAATCATACACCACCAGCAGCGCTAATCTTGTGAAGATGTGAAGCCACCTCAACTTTTCAAACCGCCATTAGACAGCCGAACGCGCTTGGAGGAGAACGCTAACCGCCAGTTCTGTTACATCAGCTAACAGACGCCTACACTGGCTAGCATCACGCTGAGTGATGGGGGAGACGAGGGGGCCATCCTGCCCACCCAGAGAGAGGTGGGACTGTAGTATCACCAGAGATCGAACTCGACTAATAAAGAAACGCTGACGTTAATAACACACATACAGAATGTAATTTGGACAGCCAGTCAGCTGTGTTGATTTTGTAAACAAGCATGGTGATTGGCTCCCAGATGCTGATGGATTTTTTATACCCACCCCTGGAGAGTACAGTGAGCATTAGTTTTATGGTGGTAAATCGTTTATGGACTTATGGAGCTACATTGTTTAGGTCGGTGATGCTGCAGCTTTCAGTTTTGGCCTCTACTGATCAACACTATAAATCTCTGCATGAACCTGAATTCACTCATTGATTGTAGATCAGAAATCCTTCTTGATCTGTCGAGTCGCTTCTGCTCCTCTTTTGTCACTGTTGTCTTTAAGAGAGTTTCAGTTTCTGCTGAATAGCCTACTGTGTTCAATAAACAGCTAAACCTTTCTTACGCAACACGAGATCATCCACTCATCCTTGCTTTGCTCCACTCCTATTCCAGCCATGGCATGGATACAGCAGTTCCCGTTTTGAAGTGCTTCCAAATAGCTTCCGGCTCTCCTGTGCACGCCGTCCAAGGTCCTCCCTCAAGGAATATAACTGGAGACCTGGCCCGCTCCAAGCTGCTCCCCGTCTTTCCTTGCCCCGCTCCAGGAAATGGTTTTGCTTTGTTTATTCACATTCTCATTTCCTATAGAATATCATCAGCCTGAGGAGCTGTAGAATTCCCGGAGCGAGGTTTCCTTCAAGTCCTCCTGAAAAGTGATAGCTCCACTGTTCAAAGGGAGGACGGAGAGGAAAAAGGTACTGAGTGCCTGAGGCGGATGGAGGAAGGCTTCCTTTCTTCAGATCCAGGGAGCAGGGTTGGTCTAACTCCCCTCGTTCTCCAGAGTTTCTGATCTGGAACAATGGATTTGGTATCTGGAAGTTACTAGTTTCCTCAAACTCTAGGCTAGTGAGTAGCTGCTCATTCTCTGGAGTTTCTGGATAATCTGAAGAAGTTTAGCAGAAGTCACTGGGTCTCTGCATGAGTACAGATAATATTGGCAAAATACTCAAATTATGTTTAACGCATTCAGAAATGTTGTAATAATTTCCCCCAGTTGACCGAATTCCATACGTTTTCCTGCCTGAAATCCATTTTTGTCTCAGTTCTTCAACTCTGTCTGTGTTCTCCACCTCGCTGAGTCCTACATCTTCGATCTATATGTTTACCATATCTAAACTTCTGAGATGCCACATGTTAACCTTCACTATAGTCCTTATGGGAAAGTCCACTTAGTGGCCTCCCCGGTCAGTTATTTTTAAATACAGATTTGAAATCACTGCTAAGATTTGAAAGTGTTTTTTCAGCTTGTTCATCTCCTCAGCGAGGGCAGGCTTTTCCCACTTTTCCATTAATCATTCAACCAGTGACTCTGCCTGCACTCAGCCTTGTGACCTGAAAACAAAGAAGTGTCCTTTACTAAGTTAGCATTTCACAGTGAGAACAGAACCCGATCCAAACAGTGGGAGGGACGGCTTTCCAACAGTCACGTTTTAGTGAAGGAGAAACTGGAGGTTTAGGGGACTGAAGTTTGCCTGTGTGAAGAGCTAGACTGAATTCAGGGCTGGAGGAGGCGCCGTATCCCTGCTCGTCCTCGGAGCACTTTATTTTCCATGACCACAGATTCTTAAAACCAATCGTTCAGCCAGCGTTTATCTCTGTAACTTGAGATTGACTGACTCCAGCTTTGAGGGTTCCTGTGGCGATTGGCTAAAAGACGCTTCACCCTCTCCTCGTGTCTGGCTTGCAGGGGGCCATGATTTGTTTGACTGACAGGTGGTCTTGGTTTAGAGACAAGTCATCAAGATCCCCTGGTGGACAAGTGGCTTCATGACCCCAACCTGCTCCATTTCAGCTAAGCTTTTCACAGCTGAGCCAACTGTTATGTGTGTGTGTGTTTGGGGGGGGTGGGGGGTGGATGAGTTATGTATGTGCGAGGTTGGTGGCTATTTTGACGGGTGTCTCTCTCGGTATCTGAGATTCTACTGAAGAGTAAAGGAAGGTGAAACTGGAGCCTGAAGTGATCTGATTTAGAGATTTACGGCTTTGGTGTTTCTTGCAAATTTAGCGCAAAAGTCAAAGAGTGTTGTCAGTATTTTATCAGTTGCATTTTTCTTTCCATCAGAATGTCATTGTGACCGTTGGCATTGCATCGTAACCTTTTCTTCATCCCTTCAGTTAAATGACCTCATTCATCGTAGCGGTGATTCCATCGTTGACATGCAGGTGTTTGTGCAGTTGCTCATTTGGCAGAAGGTCGTTGTGCCCGTTGAGGTGATGGAGGAGAGCGGCAGGGATGGACGGAATGGTGTTGACCTTTTCGAGATGTATCCCCCCACCGCGCCCCGAGGGCCTACGGGATCATCTCAGCCATCTCCAGCTTTACTCACCCTCCGCAAAAGAGCCGCCAAGGAGATGACAGATATCTGTACAAGGACGAAGTTCAGGATCACGCAGTGCGATGTGTGCTCAAGGGGGGGTTTGAAGCACTTCATACGCAGCCAGATCAGTTTTGGACGCCTGCGGTAAAAACTCACATTGATTTCCACCACAACTGCACTGTGTAGTCGCTGAGCTGAAAAACATTTGTCATAATAAAAACTTTGATGTTCACTTTTTGCACTTTTTAAGCAAACTCAAAGGAATCAGTGATGTGTTTATATTCTGATTAGTCTGGTCATTAAGGAGGATTTGGAATACATAATGAGGGTTTCCCAGACTCAGATTAAGGCTTAAGCTAGTCTCCAATATCAGTATTGGAGTAATGCTGTACAAAGTACTGTACTGCAGTAATGTGATTATTTTTTGTAATGAAGTAGTGTAATCACAGTACAGCTCCTGTAATCACATTACGGTCACTGACTTACTAAGATTTACATTAACTGTGTTACTCACAACAGTATTAATCACGCATGATTTTTAAAACAAAAATTTTCACTATATAGATTATCTCTTTGTGCTTGTGTGAAATTTGCACACTTGAGCTACCTGCGTCAGCCGATTCCACGATTAATCCATCTGATTATGATGCTGATATGAAAGTCACCTAAGTTCACCTAAACAGATCAGACACGATTTACACTTTATTCACTGTCAGCTCTGTAACATCTACACTTTATTCACTATCAGCACTGTAACATTTACACTTTATTCACTATCAGCACTGTAACATTTACACTTTATTCACTATCAGCTCTGTAACACTTACACTTTATTCACACAGAGTTTATTTCAGCTGTTTTTGAACTGTTTCTGTCGATGGCTGTAATCAGTACCTGACGTGCTGTTTAAAGAGCTTTTAAATGCTGTTTACTGATTGGCTGTTTGTAAATAAAGCTCTGAAAGGGCTGTTGGGTTTATACAGCCAGTTCAGATGTGTTTGGGTTTTAGAGAGAAGCTCAGACGTAAAGTAATGAGTAGTGGGATTACAGGAAGTATTCTGTAAAGTAATCCATTACAGTATGAGAAATTAGTAATGAGTTAGTTTAATTCTCTTCCCTGATCATTAATCACTGTTCACTGTTGATAATGTGATGTAGTCCACTGTTGGCTGAAAATGTGAATATGATAAACAGTAAATACGACCTAGAAGCTTGACTTGTTTATGTAATGCTAATTATTGGCTACTAGTTTAATGTATTATTTCGAGCAGGTTGGTGCAGATGTTTTTCATTTGTTTCTGGATCAACAGAAAGGCTTGAATTCCAGTCATTCCGTATTCTCAGCACACATTATCTCCTCTTTCACATCTGTGCTCTGTCTCCTCACCGATTATCTCACTTTTGTTTTTTCTCTTTAACATTGTTCCTCAGTTTTGGCAGCGGCCGCGGCCGTATTTGCCGTTCCCGGGTGCGGGAGCCCTGGTGTGTTCCAGCGCTCTAATCGCATTCCTCCAGGCCGGGCAGCAGCTTGCTCTGCATTCCACAACTCTGGGGGCTTTCCAGGAGCTCGGCGCAGGCATTCGCTTCTGCCGCAAGCTTCAAAGCGAGGGCGGAACTTCAAAGGCGTCGCAGAGGCTAGGTGTTGATGACTCCGATCCCAGCTGGGTTCAGATTTAGCTGCCTCTTAAACTGCGAGAGAGGCTGCAGAGAAATTCTGATCTGTTGTTTTAGCATAAATCACCTCTTATTAACGGCCATGTGCTACTTTAGTTTTGCAGAAAGGGGGCGTTCACTCTCAAGGGTTCTTTAGTAAAGAAAATGGTTCTATAAAGAACCAAGAACACTCAAAGAACCCTTGCCTGATTAAAGGGTTCTTCAGATTGATGGAAATGTGCTTCAGATGATTCTATATAGAACTTATTTGAAAAGGGTGCTATATAGCAGTCAACAGGGTTCTGATACAGCACATTCTTAAGAACCCTTTCATGATGCAAAGAACTCTTTAATCACGCAAAGGGAACCATTTTCTTTACTTAAGAACCCTTGAAGAACCACTTTAAGAGCGTAGAGGCTGTGGAGCTGATCTGTTGTCTCGTCAGGGCGTCCGAGGCGGTTTAGTGGAGCAGCAGCTCAGACAGATGTAAATTCTCACGGTGTGTTCAGTTTTGATGCTGCTGATTTTGCAGATAAAATATTGATCTGTTTTGATAAAGCTCGCCGTGGCAGTTGGCAGTTGATCAAGCGGAATGACCGTCGTCTGACACGCGTTTGTAAGTTTGTAGACAGTCTGACGGTTTTGCGGAATCGTATGTGTAACAGTTTCCGTTTTCACACTCGAGAGTTTCACCACATGAGGCAGCAGCTCACTCTGGATCACTGCTGTCTCTCTTCTGTGCAGTAAAGTAGTCGTGTTACGCTCTTTGAAGCGACTGAGCTGAAAGTGACACCGTGAGGGGGTTTGAAAGCGTCTCCTCTCCGCTGGGCCATTGATGGTTTAAGGCTCCACTCGCTGCGTGTTAATAGAGTCGCAGTGCCAGTCTTCTCGCGTGCCTGAAGCTGTCAGCCCGCAGACGCGCCGCCGCATATTTGAATATTTACATGATATTAAGTGTCTTCTCTGAGCGCTTCGGTCTAATGCCTAAATCACAGCGCTTGTTTGTTTGCGCCGTTGCTATGGGGACGGCATGCGGAGACGGTTTTTGTGGGAGACGCTAATAGGGGACTCCGTGAGGTGGAGCGGTCGCGCTGCTGTGCGTGTGCCAACTGTCTGAAAGCGTTCCCTCGCTCGGACCGCCGCAGCGCCACTTTGAATCTGTCCTTGAAATGACATCGCCTCCTTCGCGGCCCATAGACACTCGCATGCTGTCGCTTAATTGGTCATGACGTCAGCGCTCCTGCTCCGCTCTCTGGATTCTCCGGCCTTCGCCCGAGTCGAGTTTGGGTTTTTTTTTGTTTTTTTGGCTGGGATGCAACTTCTGCAACTGTGGTTCCATCGGTTTTGTCTGGAGGACAAAGGAGAGGAAGTCTTCTCCATTGAAAAAAGGGCCTGGGCTCCTTTTTGGGAGATAGTATTACCCTGTCGGAGCGGCCCCACCTGCAAGGCTTCTCCAGCTGCCACTCTGTAACTCTATCTCCTCTCTCTTCAAGGCAGCCTCCGCTTTGAAGTTATTTCCAGCGCTTGGGAAACGAGAAGGCACAGGCGATCATAGCGGCAAGCTCCTCCCCCTTTTTCTTCCCCCCTCTCTCTCTCTCTCTCTCTCTCTCTCTCCCCTCAGGCTCTGAATAGGCCAGGCCTTGATGTTGATGATTGTTTGCGTGTTCTGTCACTTTGGTATATTTATAGTGGAGCCCAGATTCATTCATATTTATTCTGTTGCTGCGTCAGCTGAGCAGGAGCTGTTGAGCCGGACTGAGACGGAGTGTTTTGGAGGCGTTTTGGTGCCAGAAAGAAGAAGAAAGAAAGAAAGAAAGAAAGAAAAGGAAGCATGAATGATAAAGAGTGAAGGCAGGTGGAGGAGTGGAGAGAATCCCGCGTAGAATCTGTGGCATTTTTCTTAGAGGCACTGAGAGAATCAGCCGCTCGGACAGAGAACAGCAAACAGCAGAGCCGAAAGGAAACTGGCAGCGCCGCCATGTAGAGCTCTGTCTCTCTCTCTCTCTCTCTCTCTCTCTCTCTCTCTCTCTCTCGCTCTCTCTCTCTCTTTCTCTCTCTTTCTCTCTCTCTCTCTCTCTCTCTCTCTCTGTGTCTCTCTCTCTCTCTCTCTCTCTTTCTCTCTCTCTGTCTCTCTCTCTCTCTGTGTCTCTCTCTCTCTTTCTCTCTCGCTCTGTCTCTCTCTCTCTTTCTCTCTCTTTCTCTCTCTCTGTCTCTCTCTCTCTGATGCAGATGAGGTGTACAGCAGCTGAAAGATGCAGAGAGACGGAGGGTTTGATGAAAGACAGACAGGTTTTGTAGACAGACGATACAGAACCTTCCAGTCAGGCCAATAAAGCTCCATTGAACTTGAACAGAAACTGTATGAATCCTGAAGGAAACAGTGAAATTGTTCAGAATGTTCAGTGGTTTGTGTGACAGATGCTTGTGCAGCCCTGAATCCTCTACACCTGCTTTAGGTTTGTTTGTTTTGGGGCTGTTTTTAATGTGGAGGCAGAGCGCTAACGTCACTGCTGATAAAGCTGAAGGTCTCTCTGTGTCCGTTTATCTGCAGTAACATCATTACAGTGGAGAGAAAACGTCACCACAGAAACGACTCGTCAGACGAGGAGGCCGGCGAGCTAAAGGCTAAAGTTAGCAAGTTAGCTAACCTGGTTGTCTGTATTCTGCCAGGCTGATTAGCGATGCAGCGCTGCAGTGACTCTGATTTAGGCTTGAATTCCGTCTTAAAGTCAGGATTATTCAGGTATTCAGTGATTAATCTTAAGTTATTTTATTCAGTAAACACATCATTCAACAAGATGGCGCCCGAGAGCGGCTGCTGTGTTCTGCTGTGTTTGTTTTACTTGTTAAATTAAATCTTTTTCTATTTTTATTTGACTGTATTTCGTTTTATGTTGACACAAAGAAATTCCTTCTACATCTGGTACTTTTCTGATTCTGATTCTCTGACGTTACACACTTCACAATAAAGGCGTCAGAAAAGGTTCTTTGGAGGACAAAACTAAAGAACATTTCAACCAAAGGTTCGCTAAAGAACTATTTTTGTGAATGAGATGCATAGAGAGTCCACGTAGTGTAACGGTTCTAAACTGAGAACCATTTTGAGGCAGCGTTTTGTTTTTTTGCACTAAAGATCTGAAACACGTTGCCAATAATCATTCGTCCGACTCCTGCGGTCAGTGTTTTAAAAAAGAGTTTAAAACTTTTTTTTAGTGTTTAACAAGTTTTTTTTTATTATTTTCCTTGGTTTTACTGGAATTTTACTTTCATTTTCTTGTTAGTTGTATTTTTATTGTAATTTAGTTTGTATTTTTATCTAGCGCATTTTATTTTTTATTATTATTAATATATAATATTTCTGCTGCTGCTTTTATTTGTTGCATTTTTATTATTATTATTATTTTTTTATTCTTTCTTGTTGTTTGCATGTTGCATCATGAAGCACTTGAGCTGCATTTTTAATGTATGAAAAGTGCTGTATAAACATTAT